TACTGTAGTGTACTATCGCCAAAGTGAACTCAGCCGTTTTGTTTTCGTATTGTACCGAACTGTTGAAGTAAAAAACGAAACGAAATAGTAACGTACAATATAGTTTATTTTCGTACCCTGAAAAAAACAAGGGTATATTTTTTTCGGTATAGAATTCCGGCTTTACTTTTTTACTCACATCAGTATCAGTATTCGTTATTTATTTATTTTTTTCACAATATTCGATATACATATTTTACATTATAAACTTGTNAAAAAAATATTTAGACGCCCTTCAAGCGTTAAAAGATTTTTATGTATTTTATATTGATTTTGAAGAATTCTATATAATTTCTAAGAAAAAAGGGCTTTTCCCATATAAAATACATGGAAAAATTTTAGCGCTTTGAGCGACCTATATTTTTTTTTTGATTTCAAAATAAAAAAACAAAGGTATATTTTTTTCGGTATAGAATTCCGGCTTTACTTTTTTACTCACATCAGTATCAGTATTCGTTATTTATTTTATTTTTTTCACAATATTCGATATACATATTTTACATTATAAACTTGTTCGTAAATTTAAATATAAAGCTCTTGTACGGCGCACGGATTGCACGGTAAAAACTTAAAACTTAAAAGCTTTGCAAACCTTGCAACCCGTGAACTGTGCAAGGGCTTAGCAAGTTTTCGAAAATACCCCTATGGTTTTTGTAGTAGAATGAGCTCTGTGCATTATAAATATTAATTAACGATCCCCGTACCGAATGTCATGCATTAGTCACTTAAGTGTCTTGTTCAGCCATGTTAAGTCTTCAATGACTTTGGGCTCCGTTTATATGGAAGTCGTTCATGACACTTTCATACAAATGGTAATTCAGTCGTTGATAGCCTCTGCATGACTTCAGATTTTTTAGAATTTTTTTGAGTATGCAGTTTTGCAACCCAATAAATTCTAGTAAAAAAATCCAAGTTCGGATTTAGCCGAAAATCGCGTTGATTTTTGAGAATTTTTTTTTGTTGAAGGTGTTTTGCATTTTTCCCATATAAAGTATTTTCAGAAAAAAAAGAAATTTTATGGAAAAGACTGCGTAAAAAAAAATTGCCAAAANCTGCAGCCCATTAAATTCTAGTAAAAAAATCCAAGTTCGGATTTAGCCGAAAATCGCGTTGATTTTTGAGATTTTTTTTTGTTGAAGGTGTTTTGCATTTTTCCCATATAAAGTATTTTCAGAAAAAAAAGAAATTTTATGGAAAAGACTGCGTAAAAAAAAATTGCCAAAAAATCAATGGTAATTCCTAGCTACTTAAAACTTTCACTTGGGCTACAAATCTGCATACTCAAAAAAATTCAAAAAAATCTGATTAAANGCACTTGGGCTACTCAAAAAAATTCAAAAAAATCTGATTAAAAATTTGAAAATTATCATGAAAATTTTTAGAATTTTCGTGAGTTTTGCACAAAGTTTAGGAATTATATCGAGCCCTAACCGCCAAAATAACGTAAGCGACATTTTTTCAAAATTTTATTTTTGATGCAGAAATATTCCTAGAGCATTAGACGCATTTTTGCATCAAAAAGAAAATTTTGAAAAAAATGTCGCTTACGTTATTTTGGCGGTTAGGGCTCGATATTTTAATTTTTTTGTTGTAGGATGAACCATATTTTTATACGAAATTGGCGGAAAAATATTAGAATGAAAATTGTTGCATATATTNAAATAAATAAAAAAAAATTGCCAAAAAATCAATGGTAATTCCTAGCTACTTAAAACTTTCACTTGGGCTACAAATCTGCATACTCAAAAAAATTCAAAAAAATCTGATTAAAAAGTTGAAAATTATCATGAAAATTTTTAGAATTTTCGTGAGTTTTGCACAAAGTTTAGGAATTATATCGAGCCCTAACCGCCAAAATAACGTAAGCGACATTTTTTCAAAATTTTATTTTTGATGCAGAAATATTCCTAGAGCATTAGACGCATTTTTGCATCAAAAAGAAAATTTTGAAAAAAATGTCGCTTACGTTATTTTGGCGGTTAGGGCTCGATATTTTAATTTTTTTGTTGTAGGATGAACCATATTTTTATACGAAATTGGCGGAAAAATATTAGAATGAAAATTGTTGCATATATTGTGAAAAATTTGCTGTGCCAATACTTTGTTCCGGCAGTGTANAAGAAAATTTTGAAAAAAATGTCGCTTACGTTATTTTGGCGGTTAGGGCTCGATATTTTAATTTTTTTGTTGTAGGATGAACCATATTTTTATACGAAATTGGCGGAAAAATATTAGAATGAAAATTGTTGCATATATTGTGAAAAATTTGCTGTGCCAATACCTTGTTGCGGCGTGTATGTATTTCTACATTGCACTATGGCTGAAATAAGCACTTTCTGTGGCTAAAAGTCCAATTTTCAATTTTGCTTTCAAAATGTTTAACAGGCGAACTTTATTCTAGATACTCTAATTTTTGTTTGGAATCCCCGCTACCAAGTTCATTCAGATAGGATTGAATCAATTNGCGGCGTGTATGTATTTCTACATTGCACTATGGCTGAAATAAGCACTTTCTGGGGCTAAAAGTCCAATTTTCAATTTTGCTTTCAAAATGTTTAACAGGCGAACTTTATTCTAGATACTCTAATTATTGTTTGGAATCACCGCTACCAAGTTCATTCTGATAGGATTGAATAAATTCAAAAACAATTCTTGCTTTTTGCATTGCGTGATTTTAACTGGGATTCAGACTACAATCTCCCCCCTTACACTAGTCGTCTAAAGCTCATTGAATAACTCAGTGAGAGGGGAGACCAGTATGTTTGCATGTATGTATATATAAAAAGAAAATATTTATTGGTTCAAAAATGGTGGGTAGGCACTGTGGCCAATGGAAAAGTTCGTTTACCACCTCTGCACGGTTGTAAGCCATGCAGAGTCCGCAAAATGCTCCGGAAGCAGTGTCCGGAGGATGCATCAGACTAGGCCGAGCATTTTTTGCACATGCACATGTCATGACACTTTCGACCTCTATTTTTGAAGCCATGCAAAACTAATTTTGAACTTAACGAATCATTCCGCGGTTTATGTCAAGACTTTAACTCTCATTCCAGCACGTTTGACATATGGGACTCGATTTTTGCTACAAATAGAACTTTCATTTCCACTCTCAATAATTGAGATACTATCTTTAGCATATCCAATCAGCTGATGAATTTGATTCGGTAGCTCAATAGTTTTAGATCTCGACACTTAACAAACTCCTGTTTCCACGACTTGGCACCAAAAAACAAAAAAAAAAAAACAAAAAGGTTCTGTAAGTCATGCGGACTGCGCCCCTCGTGTCGGTTGGGTGGTAATGGAGGGTAAAACCCGTTGTGATCAATTAATTAAATTAATGAATTAATTATAAATTCACGACCGTAAGATAAACCTGGTCCTCTATCTGTCAACCTAAATATTGTGTGTTTTTTTACTTTGGGATAGAATTTTATTATACTGAACAGCAGTGCAACGTGGATGTATTTTACGTGCCTATGACTATAAAAAGTTTGAAGTGTATTTATTTTAGCAATGGGAAATATTAATAATGGTATGTACTATTGACTGTAACAATTGCGGTTTTAAATAACATTTGTGTTTTTGAAAAAATTCGGTTTTATACAAGTTTAAACATATTGTGCTTGTTTCATGGAGTGTGACTTTTTCTGTCCGATTTTGTCGGACATGATATTTATATATATATATATACATATCTGATAAAAGGGCGTTATATCTACTTTCATTTGCTCCTATTTACTGGCCCCTGCTTGATAAAATTACTATTTTTAGACGTCATCAAAGTCAAAACTGAATAAATATTCAACGCGTGGATTCGGATTCTGCGCACAAAAATACATAACTTTTGTCAGAAACGTTTCTCTCGAATGGACTTCTGACTTCTTCTAATCCACTTCTGGTCGAAACAGGAAGACGGTAATACAACAAAGGATACACTCTAAAAAATCTGTTTAAAAATTCGACTATAAATCGAGTATATTTTTGTTTGTTTTAAATTTTTTTTTTGGTAAATTTACTCGATGAATATGTATTTTTCTCGTTTACACATTTTCGTGCGTAAAAATCCTTTTTGTTAGCGGCTTTACACAATTCTACGGGTGAAAAGGCAGATGTGTATTCTGTAGCTTCTACACACTTTCGTAGTAAATTTCGCACACCACAGCGGCTATATTACACTCTAAAAAGTCTGAAATTTAAAAAAACTATTCGTTGAATAATCGAGTATGTAATTTCGCGAATAATAAGGTAGTGAGTCAGTAACCTACCTTTTTGCTAGAAAATTTACACAATTGTTTTTTAGAGTGTAGGGCATCCACGACTTAATAGTTGTGGTTTTTCCGTTTTCCAATAAAAACATGTTCCTCCATTTTAGAAGGAGTGGACGGGTGGTCTGAGACACCCGGTATATGGGCGTGGATGTGGTTATGGGCCGATTTCGCTGATTTTCAAATCAACGTGTTTTAAGATTCTCTGCTTATTATATTATATAAAGTGCTTATTTCAGCCATAAAAAATTAACGCAAATTCTTAGCCACTTGAAACTTGCACTTTATTGAGCTAGAATTGAATATATAGAAGTGTATACTCAGAATTTTTCTAAATATTCTTAATAAAAAATTGTTTTGAATTTTTGAAATTTGGACTTATATGGTTTTTGTTGGATAATGAGCTATACTTTTATAAAAAAAGAATAGTAAACAATTAACAAACAAACGAAAAATAGTCAAAACTGTCAAAATGACGTGTACCTATTATTTTTCACAGGACTGTATGTATGTATGTAGGTAATACGAACATGCTATACATAATTATTTCAATATATTTCGGCAAAAGTTTCTTCACTTTGCCTGTAATAGTTTTTTTTTTTTAATTTAGGTTAGTTGTTTTTCGCTAATTTTACTTTTAAATTTTATAGTCATTTATTATTTTCTTACACTTTGTCTCCCTCTGTGTCTTTGCAGGTCTCTGGCGACAATCCAGTTTTTGTTGAAAGCGTTAAACCAGGTGGAGCGGCACAAATTGCTGGCTTAGTTGCCGGCGATATGATCTTAAAGGTATGTTTGTTAGTTGCGAATTTTCGTTGTTGTTGTTATAATTGTATATGTGGTTGTTATTATTTTTGTAGACAACAATGCAAAAGCAAAGAAAAGACAGGCCGCCGCGAAGATTATTATTATTATATTGTTGCATATTGTGTTGTTATTGTTCTTGTTTTTTTATTGTTTTCCGGCGTGCAACGAAGAATATTGCAAAAATCAAAAAAAAAAAAATGATTTTCCGCCCCACCCTGTCCGAGTTCTTTGCCTTTTTATGTTGAACTGATAATGGTGTTTCTTTTGCTCTTGTTGTTATTGTTTGCGTTGTTTTTGGCGTTGTTGCTGTTCTTGCCTTTTCTGTCAAGTCATACTTGATGGTTAATAATAATGCGCAAAGCGTTTCTATACACACACACATACACACCTAGATCGCGGTTTTATTGTTGTTTATATGCTTTTATTTATTATTTGTTACTTTTATTTTTCGCTTTTGAATTTTATTTATATTTTTTTGTTGTTTGTTGTTTTTTTGCCAACTGTGCCATTCACCGTTTTCTCTGTTGTTATTTCGCTTTTTTAGGTCAATGGACAAGAAGTGCGTATGGAGAAGCATCCAACTGTGGTTGGCTTAATAAAAGGTATGTTGCTACTACTTTTGTTGTTGTTGTCTTTTTCGTTTGTTGTACTCAATCTTGACTGTTGACTGCAGACTGTTGTTGTTGCTGCTCTTGCTGTTGCCGTTGCCGTTGCCTTTGCCACTGCTGTGTGGCGCGGTGGGTGTGGCAATGCAGCGCAATTCAAGCAAGCAAATCAAGTCAAGTCGTGTCGAGTCGCTCGAGTATTTTTATTTGTTTGTACGTGTGTATGTACATACATATGTTTGTATGTCCACCACAAAGTGGTTTAAACGGGTATTGTACTCTGGTGGCATTCAGTAATTGCAACAGTGTGAAGTGCCGTTTATGAGTAAGCCAAAAGATTTCCACATCATGAAGTTCAATGTGTTGGTTGAAGTTCGATTGCCGCTATTTTATGGTTGTTATAATGAAAATGATTGATCTAGAAATAAATTTGGTGAGTTTGTGCTAAAAAATTATAATTGCCTTAATTGCATTCATGTATTCTGCTTTCTGCGAGAATACAATGCTATGAATGAGCTGTTCTGTATTAGAGACAAGCCTTAATATTCTATTAGAAATGTGCCAAATGAGACACTGCTGCAGAAGAATCAATATATTCGCCAAACCAAGGGCCAAATATAGTAAAATTGCATTCTTAATTTTTCTCTATGACGTCAGGGATTTTAAAAAGAACTTTGAAATTTGAAAGATATGAGTAATTAAAAAAATGATTTAAAAATTTCAGTGCAATATACTTAAGAAACCAGTATGGGTATCAAATGAAATAGAAGATTCTGTAGACATTTTTTGGTCCGTAAGGGACGGGTAAGTATTGAAAATACTCTTTTATAATTTCATCCTTGAATATCCTTGAAATATTTTAAATTCTTATTTTTGAAAAAATTATATGTTAAGGACTAACTTTATTAGCTTAAAAAATAAAATAGATTAAAGGGGCATTTTCAATTCCTATTCGTCCTTGTGAACCCAAACAAATTATTTCATTTGGTATCCATACTTTTGTTTTACATTGCACTGATTTTTTTTAAATAAATTTTGGAATTAACCATATCGAGCCCTAACCGCCAAAACTAACGTAAGCGAATTTTTTTTTTTAAATTTTCTTTTCGATGCAGAAATATTCCAAGACCATTTAGATGCATTTCTGCATGAAAAAGAAAATTTTGAAAAAAATGTCGCTTACGTTATTTGGCGGTTAGGGCTCGATAAAGTCTTTTTAAAAAAATCAAGACGTCAGAGAAATGCCCATTTATACATATGCGGTTAATTGTGTGTAATATGAAGAGACTTTTATAAAAAATATAAATTTTGGATAAACAAAAGGAATATAGACAAAACTGGTCCAAATAAGGGGCTTCTTTTATTTCTGCTACTCGAATTATGAACTTCTTTCAACCAGAAAATAAATTTTTTGACTTTTTTCATCGAGCTTTTTTCGACATACCTTAAATTACTTTATCAGATATGTACACACTAAAATATTATTAAATGCATATAAATTTAACTACTGTCTGTCGTTTTGAAATAATTTTCACTTTAAATAAAAAAGTACGTTCCAAACCTATTTACTTATTATTTATTATATGGTAGGAGAGCTTCACCTTTAACACCAAAAAATTTCCTCTCGACATAAGTGGTTAGATAAAACTGACACACGCCAAACTTTTTTTCTTTCATATGTCGTGATACGGCTTAATGTACATCTAAGAAATACAATAAAATATGTACTAATACAAAAATAGCTTTTGCCGAGCTTGCATCTTGTGAGCAAAATTTGGTTCAGTTTACGCCTTTCACAAAAATATTTTGAGCTAATTCAACGTCATTCGTAAGCTAGACCGCCTCCTAAATAGCTTTTTTTTAACAAGAATATAATTTGATTACAATAAATATGTCAAATAAAGAAGTTTGCATGCATTATTTTAAAATTCTGCAAAACATTTTCAAACAATTAAATTTTTTAAGTATACATATTACATAATGGGATTTAATTTTGAATTGAGTGTCTTTTGAAAATCTGAATAATGAGCTATTTCTTATGCAAATTTCTATTTCTTGGTATCAATTTTTTAAAGTTTAACTCATTCATACCCTAAAAATTTTATACATACTTATCTTGTCACCAAAATGTCGTGAGCTAATTTTTTAAAGGTATGTATAGTTAAATCTTCACCATGATGCCCCAGAAATGGAAATGGCGGAATTATTTAATACATATCTCATAAAAAATATATAAAATACCGGAGATTACACTAAAAGTTTCATTATTTTGATCTTTTTTTGCTCCGAAGTGTGACCACAGTGATGCACTCTCCAGCTGGATAATTTGCGTGGTCTTATAGCAGCACCAGTTTAATTTTGCTCTGCTTAATGCAAATAATATGGGAAATAAGTTTAGCAGCACATTAATCGCTTCTGTGGGTGTGGTGCACAGAAAAAACTTAAACATGAAAAATAAAGACTGGTTTTCATTATGTCAAATTCAGTGGCATTTGTCGTCAAATAAGTGAAAACGCATTGTCAACTGAAATAAATCGATTGATTTCGATAATAATAAGTCTTAAGCTGCTAAATCGGCTATCTGTCAATAATATTATCGGCAACGCCACGAATTAAGTGAAGAATAAAGTGAAAATTTTTGTGGCCAAAAATATGACATACATATGGTGAAAACAGCATTTATATTACTTCATATTATTTATTATTTCTTCTATTATTTTATTTTACTTTTTGTTATTTTTTATAAAATCTTTTGTTTAATTAAATTTTTGTTACTTTTAATTATATTTTTTTGTCATTTTACTTTCTGTTATTTTTAATTTTACTCTTGTTATATGTATTTGGTTTTTTAAATTTTTTTTTACATTTAAAATTTTACTTAACATTTAAAATGTTACTTTAAACTTTACTTTCAGATTGTAAATTTTACGCTTTTAAATTTATTTTAATTAGT